ATACATTTTTTGTGCCTTTCAAAAAAAAATTAAAAGAGATATAAGAAGCAAACTTTAGATACCCATCTGATTAGTGTGTATGTGGGAGCGCGAAATAAGTTTGTTATTTTTTTATTATTAAAGAGTGCGAGGAAATGCAGAATACGTATATGCAAGTGTTTGTATGTATATTGATCGCTTGTGAAATTGGCAAAGCCCATCGCGTCCGACGATAATCACAGAAATAGCAATATTCAATCAAAAGAACAACAGCGCGTGTGTATTTTGGCTGAGACAGGAAGAGATCATTCGCCAAAAAGAGAAAAACAACATCTCTATGTGTGTGAACATATAAGTAAATGTGAATAAAAAGAAAAGTGCACAGCGAAAGTTCAATTGAGTAAAATCTTGAGTGCGTCAACTGTTTGTTTAGCCTGCGTATTTGTTTTTGTTCGTGCGTCTCGGACTGTGAGCGTGTTAGAAAAATATAACGGCAGTTGCAACGGGCCGTCGCCGTTGCCGTCGTCGCTGCTTTCCATCCGCGATTCACATGTACAGCAAAAACAACAACAGCAGCAATAACAGCGACAACGACAACGACAACGAGAAGAGTAAGAGCAACAAAACTAAAGGCAAACGGAAAAGCAAAAGGCAGAGCAATTGTGTTCAAGTGAATTGCAATAATTTGTGTCGGCTGGCCAGATGTGTTTAATAAATGATTGCGATTGCGCCAGTTGTATATTATTATGGCCTTGTTGAATAAACTGTTCTTTCCGTCGGTACCAACACCACCAGCCACAGCAGCAGCTCCACCCACGCAAACGACGCCAACGGCAGCACATTTCGCTGCAAACCAAACAACAACCCCAACAACAGCGCAGCCGACGCTAAATTATGGCCAAACAACAGTAGCTGAGGCGGCATCACGTACTCACGCCTCAGCCGGTAACAATAGTTCGGCGTCCGCAAAAGCTACGCAAACATCCAGAAATTATCTAAGGTAAGTGTTTGTTGTATTGTATGTTTGTGTATAAACACTTAAACTCATAAACACGCGAGCTAGTATATGTAGAACTGTATACAACTATTGTAGACAGGCACGTGTCGTAATAGTTAGTCATAAGTAGGAACAGCACGGATCACGCGCTCATCTCTAGCTGCTGTGTGTAATGCCTAACACCTGGCGTTAAGTCGCCTGTAAAAGGACGGCAAAAACAAAGGCACACAACCCCTATAGTGTACATTAGGCAGCTGTCCATGCAATCAGCGTGTGTGAAAAAGAAGTATGAAATAACAAAATAAATACCTATGCATACAGATAGAATGAAAGCATTTCCATTGGCTTTGCCTTGCTTTTGTCGCTGTCAGCTCGTGGTGCTATATATCTCTTCCTCTTTGTATTTCGTACGCAAATTGGCGAGCGTAAACGGGGACAATAACCCAACAAACATTTTGGCAAATGCTTTATTTATCGTCACGTACGCCAAAATGCAATGTTCTCTATGTTTCCATCTCTCTATCTTGGTGTGTACTCGTTTGAGTATATATATGTGTGTGTGGTCTGATATCTGTCGCTCTGTTGTTGGAAGTCAAAGTGCAAATCAAAGGTGCGACCCCATCCAACAACACAATTACAAGCTCGCGACTGCGCTTCTGTTGTTCTCTGTTCTCTATTCGCCCTACTATTTTCGCCTAACGCTCTTAATAGTGTGTTCGGATAGTTTCGGCTTGCTGCGACGCGGTTTCATTTTGCCGTTCTCGCTCGCGCTCTCTCTTTATCGATCAGTGTTGAGAGTGGGGTGCCGTAGGCGTCTGCATATTTGTATGTGTGTATATGAGTGTGTGTGGGCAGTGAATGGAGAGAGACGGTTGCGGCGAAGGCGGACGTAAGGCGCAAATGTAAATAAAAACGAATCACATGACTTGCTAATCGGCGTTCACAGTCGCTGCTTGCTCTCGTGATTATTATGTCATACACACTTTGTTGTTGGCTTCGCCACTGTTGGGTGCGCATAGGTATGAATGTGTGCGTATATGCGTCAGTATGTTTGTGTATATATATAAATACCCTTAAAGAGTAGGATATTTGAAATTGAGCTTGTTTCTTGAGCATTAGACCATAATATGATTCAGAATGTATTCTTGGAAAGGGTATCTAGTGTTCGTTCGCTTGTGGGTTTTCTGTTAATTCATTTAATTATTATTTATTACTGTTTATTTGCTTATGTATGTTGAACTGTGTGCGCGTTAACAATGTTGATTTTTGACGCTTGCACTCGCCGTCAACTGTTCTGATTGCGGTCTCTCTTTGTTTGTCTGTTTGTATGTTTGTTTGTTTGTATATTGATTGTGTGAATGTGTGCGTGTGCATGTGCGTGTGTGTGACTCGATCAATAACAACAACAATCATAATAATAATATTACTAACAGCAGCTATGCCAATTGTTCATTTACAATTTGCATTTCCCCATTCAATTCACAACGTAAGCAAATCGTTTACACAGCAATCGATTAACGCGATCAGCTTACACATACAAATGATTGTAGGTGTGTGGAGTGTTGGTCTAAATGGGTATTTAATAGAGGCAGCTTCATGCCCCGCCTTCAGCCCCCTGAAATGGCCGATAAGGCCTAAAATATACCATATATCAACGGCCTTTTGGCACACTCAAGTGGCTATTGGCCAATTCGTGGCCAAGGCGCATTCACACAGATGTACATGAGCGTATAAATGTATGTGAGAGAGGGAGAGAGTGATGAGAGAGCGAGCTATTGGTGCACTCTCTCAATTCACCATCACGTGATAAATTTTGTACTCTGCTAATTAAACGCGGGGTTTTTGCACTTTGCTAAATGTAAACTTCAAATTGTTGGCAGTTAAACTCATTGAGAATTGTTGTTAAAGCTGCCAGCTGATGGGCGTGGCGCGCTGGGCGGGTGGGGTAGCATAATATTGTGATAGGTCAGGTTTTGGGCGCTGTAAACTAAATAAAATTGTGTTTGCTTTTGCTGACAGTTAACAGTTAATTTATAAAATTGTTTGTATAGGCGACACGTTTGAGTAAATTTCCATTCCACACGCCTATATGAACGTGTATACGCGGGCGTGTGGGTGAGTGTGCATTTGTGCGTGTGTGTGTGTTTGCAGATGAGTTTGTTATCGTTTATTTCCATTTGGCTTGCGACTGAATTCCTTAGAAAATTCCTATTTATCTATACAACCTTTTATCTATTGCCAAAACTGGCAAAGAGAAACAGCCCTATTTCAAGCGTGCGATCATCATAATTATAATCATGGCTAGGGAAGTGTGTCTATTTACTTAGCTGGCGAATGTCAGTCATCCATGCCAATCCCCTCACACTGACTCATGACCAAGTCGTGTCCATAGTTAGGCATTCGCTAGTCACCAGATAGTCATATGACCAATATGACACAGACACGCATTCAATATGCGAAATATTTTGAGATAGATAAATAAATATTATAAAATAAACAAATGATCAAATAGCAGATACCCTGACTATACCTCTGTTTGAAATAATTCTTGATAATTTGTTAAATGTACGAATTTATTTTCACAATTCGGGATTATAATGGGTGAATGAATAAAGTAGTCTAAATCTGAGCGTTTAATATGGGATTTATATATATTTGGCATCTCTAGCTTAAGATTTCTATACTTTTGTATAAGAAATCAAGTTGTAATATGGATATTTATTGATTGTAAGAATTTGTAAATATACATATATCTAATGTGTTTTAGATCACTGCATCTAGAAAGAACGGCAGACAGAGCTTGATATTAATAAAGACCAATCATTGATATGCTATATATAGTACCATTTTACATACTTTTACCAGTAATTCGTATATTTTATCATACCCTGTGTGAATATTTCCAATATAGGGTATGTGAAATAAATAAATAAATGAGTTGGTAAAACCAAAGCCTAACCCACATAGCTAAATAAATCACACACAAAGATATTTTAACTATAAATGAATGTATGCGCTGTAATTAGCACGTGGTTAATAAATTTATACACACATATACATAGGTATTTATATATCTGTATATATATTATAAATATATTGATTATTTATTTAGTGAATAGCCGACTTTCACACAAAGGAATTCAATTCAGCACGTGGCTATATTTATATTTGTACTATATACCCACATATATACATATGTATGTCTATATAATTCGATGTCTATGTTGCAATTAGCACTCGATTGTGGAAATTTTATGCCAATTCGCGTATATTGTCTGCATAAACGACGTATATATGTATATATATATCGTGTGAAATAGTCGATTCATATGATTGCTAATCAAATTCGTCACATAAATATAAATCAATCGAGTCTCTGTTATAAATAATTCGGTTTTCAAATCTATTGTGTGTGTGGGGGTTCTCTAGGCTAGCCAAATGCCAAAATTGATTGTAAATTGGAAATTCATTAAAAACTTGATAAGTGTGCGCGAATTGTTTAAACAAATACAGACACACACGCACACACACACGGGTGCATAGCCGTGTGTACACATCAATCATTAGCGCTTCGCTTACGTACGTAATCCCCCTGGCTTATATGGTATATATAATAACTATCGTGTGATTTACATCGCCCCATTACGAGATCATCTAATGAGGCGCCCAGCTGTCTGGCCTTTTGCCGAACCTTTTGACCACATATCTTATTATTAGTTGTTTATTGTGTAAACTTTTTTTTTTTTTTTTGAATGTATATATATTTTGTTGTTATTATTTTTTAAAACGCTTTCTGTGCACCTTGAACATTTACGTCGCAGCAGCAAATAGTTACCCTACCTTAATTATTATATGTGGGTATATATGCAGTTAATGGGCGCCTCTCTCTTTCCTTTGTGTGTGTGTTTGAGGTGTAGTCTCGCCATCAGTAAACAGTAACTAATGAATATGCTAACGATCCTGGAAGGTTGACTATAAAAACAGCTTAAGTAGTTGGATTAAGGCTTAATTACAGAAACAGTTATTTGTCATGGTCAAAGCAGATTAAAAGCCTTTCTAATGGCTTATCAGTTAACTATAATAGAAAATGTAGCTTGCATTAAAGGCAGCTTGCACTGTATTCTACAGAGTATAATCCTATTTAAATGCTAATCAGAAAGAAATTTCACAGCCTTAATCTAATTAAATATAATATAGAATATAGATGTAGAATATAGAATATAGCTGTATATACCCCTTGCATTTAGCAAAGTATAGTCATATTTAAATGCCAACGTTGTCGACTTTGCCACTGTGGCTCCATGTGTTGAAGTCTCGTGGTCTGCCAAGTCATATGAGTGAGTCGTCGCAATGGTTGTTGTTGTTGCTGCTATTGTTGTTGTTGCGTTTGGGAACTGATAGAGCTAAAAGCGCGCTGTGTTGTCTACTGCTGTCGCCGTCTTCGTCGTCGCCGCTAATTATCAGTTAACAAAAATTGCTTTTGCTTTTCAACAAGCAACAGCAACACGTCAAATTAGAGACATAATGCCCAAAAATTAGAAAGTGCTGCTGACTGTCAGTTGTAAATAAAGCTGCTAAGCTCCGAGCATGTCAGAAGGGGCTTCTCTCCAGACACACAGAGTTATATATCAATCACTTTGGACAATCAATGCGATATATGTTTATGTTTATAGCTGGGATTCGAAGAATTCCGTAACTGCGATCCCTCGCTAGCGCCAACTTCAACGAATTACAATAAATACACGGCCTGCAATATCAATAGGAAAATTATGTACCCTCATTTATTAAGAAACCGAGCTCAGCTTACTTACTGGGTATTCTACTTGTCAGCTGATAGTGTTTATTTTTCTTTCTGCGACTCTATGTTGTTTATGTATATATGCATATATTTTATATATAATTGAATCATAATGCAGGAAGTGAAATTGTAAGCCGATGTTGTACTGATGTAAGCATAAGCTAAGCTCAGACCTACTAGACAGAGGGAGAGAGCACATTTTAACTCCGTTTTATCATGAAGTTCATTTACACAACATTATTACACTGCCTTGCATTAATTAAACTATAAAGAGTTGCCTGAATTCACACACTCATTTGCTAATGCATAAGGTCGCTCTTATAATATAATTGCAAAGACGTAGCCTAAAGCGTTGCCACAGTTGAGTTATTTATTTACATCATGTTATTCGCCGCACTTTACAAGCTCAAAAGGCTGCCATACTTACGCAGTTTTGCATACAGTTACAAGCAAATCGAATTCGCCGCTTCTACACAGCGTAAAGTTGCTACAATTCATTTCCTTTCATCTACACAAAATCCGCTGGCTTTCGCCGCAAGCGACTGGCATGTTTGAGAGACAAAGGCAATTGACTTTCGCCGCCTTTTTAACACGTTTCAACAAGCACCTTTTTCCCCCATTATTCATCATTTTTGTTCCGTTTCGTCATCTTTGTTTTGAGAGTACCCAAGTCTTGACTCACATTGTACACTAATCCCACATGTTACACTCTCAAAGGTAGAAGAGACAACTTCCACCCTTCCCCCCATCTGCTTATTTGCTAAACAAGTTTTTCGATTTTTTTGCTTCTGGTTTGCGTTTTTCGCTCTTTTGCGCATTTGTCGTTTTTTGTTTCTTTTTCATCTTTTTTACTTTTGATGGTTCGGTTTTAGTTTTATTCATTCATTGATCGTTTGGGGGCACGTGTTTGTGAGTGCAATCGAGAGCCTATGTGTGTGTGTGTTTGCTTATTCTTCTCTTCTGTTCGCTCTCTTGCCATTGCCTCGTCCTCGCCTCGTGCATTGTTTGCGCTGATTTTTAATTGTATTTGCGCTGTTTCAAGTGTCACTTGGCAATCAGTCCGCGTCGTCTTCGTCATCAGTTGTACATTTGTTTGCCAGATACAATTCCCATGTTATGGGGCTATTACCTGGGCCCACTCTGCATTGCGACATGACAACGCTGCCATTACTGCCAACAACAACAACAACAACAACAAACAGGAACAACAAAAGCGGCAGCAGCAGTAAAAGCCTTTTGCCAATTTGCTTTGAACTTGACATTCGATTATTTGCGCACTTAAATGGGCTTTGTTGGCGAGGGTGAAGGTCAGCATTATCTTTATTTATTTAAATATTTGTATGTATGTATCTATGTGTGTTTATCTGTAGGTATATATGTATGTATATACTTTTTATATGTATGCCTGTACTTATAATGGCTGCATCTCATGATAATGATAGTCAATTTGTTGTAGCTCACAAACAGAAAGGAAATAAACAGCCATTAGGGTGTGCAGGTCGCAAGAGTGACCGACTAACTGATACTCTCTAGTAAGTGAGCTCAATGGCAAAATTCCAAATATTATCCAAACATACATGTAATTACTGATCAAGAATAATTAAATATATATGTATTTATGTGTGTTCTTAGGCTCCCCTTCTTTTTGCACTTCTGTAATCTGTCCCGCCCCTTCTTAATAGGCACGGGGTATAAAATAATAAAGCTTTTCGCCGTGGACGTTAACGTCGCAGCTGGCGTCGCTGCCTGGCTCTTGCGCCTTTGTCGCCGCCGCCGCAGCAGCAGAAACCGCTTGTTGTCATTTTCATTGTCGGTTGCTGGCTGGCGCTGGCAGCGACGCCATCGTCGCCATTGTTGGTTGGTTTGGTCATGTGACTCGAGTTGTACGGAGCAACTGGTTGTTGTTGTTGTTTCTGCTGCTGCTGATATTATTATTGTTTTTGTTGCTGTAGTCGCTTTGGAAATCTGTTTTTATTTGCACGCTCTCGTTCATACATATATACGCACACACACACACACAGCGACCCACGATAGAGAAAGAGAGTCCACTCTGTGTAATATGATTAACAGATGTTGCCGCTTGATTTGGTTAGGGGCCACCAATTATATTTCCATATACATCTATAATGCCAAATGCCGTAATATATACGTATATATGTATATACATTTATCGATTCATATTTAATCCAAAGGGCTAATACAATGCATAATTCAACGCATTGGCTGATAAGGCAGCAACATATCAATCAAAATTATTGTACTGCTCGCCTTGGCCCATAGACTTGGTTGTCGAGGGGACTGGCAGACGACGGGAGTGGCGGAGGCCACAATCTGCCTCAAGTGGTGGCGAGAGTGGCTCTTCAAGCGTACATTTGCACACGCACACACACACACACATACACAAGCTTTTGCATATATGACTTTAATGTGTTGCCTTGTGTGTATTTGCTTAGTCTTGCTGCCTTGTTTTTTTTTTTTTTTTTTTATTCTTTTTATTTTTATTTAATTTTATTTTGTTCGCTTTTGTTTTGCTTGCGTAGCAGAAAAAAAAAATAAATAAAGCATGTGATCCCATGGCGTATGCCAAGAACAAGCAGAAGGCAACATCTCTCGTAGCGTAGCAGTGGGCGCAGGAGCGAGATAGCAATAGAGGCAGCAGGGGCAGCTCAAGTGCTCTTCACTCTGCAGGCAGACGGTGCACCGAAACAGCAGATACCCTTGCACCACTTCTTCTTCTTCTTCATCATCTTCATCTTCTTCTTCTATAGAGTAATGCACTTGTAAATAATCATTACCAACAGCCTTGTCGCGCTGGGTTCGATTACCTTTTGGCATTCAGCTGAAGGAATACTCTGTAAATGCATATTTAATGGGTATTTTACACTTATCTATAGCCTAATATTACATTTTTATTGACATAGCAGAGAGTGTCTTTCGCTCGTAAACTCTAAATTTCACAATTGACTTTACGATTTATAGTCAGGTGACAAAGTTCTGCTAAACTAATCAAAAAGAAGTAAAAATCGTATTTTTGCAGCTATCAACTGAAGTACAGAGCAGATAATAATTAGGCTAGGCTGGCTATAAATCTGATGATATATAAGAGCTTTATTATAGCAACAATTTATAATTAGACGAAATTTCCAAACAATCTTTATGATCCACAATCACTATATCATTATTTATAGAAAATACTGAGTGAAATTCATTTCTATATATATATATATATATATATGAAAACATCTTATAAATATATCACATTAAATTTGATGTTATATTAAAATTTTCCATAAATATTTATAGCTTCTCGAAGGAAACTTGGAATTTTTATGTTTTATTTTTTGAAATGTCTAGCTGCGTTGCACTGATAAAGAATATGGTAGATAAATATATATATACATTACTACCATATAATCAATTAGATCGCATACGCTATCAAATATAATCCAAGCTATCCAACTAAGCATTTATTATAAACAAATAAAAGTCAATTGAACGGTAAAAAAAAGTCACATATACACATATAGCCAACGAAAGTGCGTAGACCCTGCTGATAAGTCGAAAAATTTAGCGATCGCTCGATAATTATATATGCGCTCATTGATCTCTTTTTTTTCGCTTTGGCTGATCGACGCGACAGGTGACGAGCTGACAGGGTGACAGGTGATAGTTTGCTGGCAGCTCCATCGCTCACAGCTCACGTAGCCCCCAAGTACCAGGTGCAAAGGTTGAGCATTATTTTTGCGCTAACTCAAACTTGGTGAACTTTGGGCGTCAGCAGTTGCTGGCTCTAGGCTAAATCCATCGTGAATTGTCTCGACTGTGAAGTATTTTCAAAACACAATATATTAACACATCACATCGTTTGACACTCCCCAGACTAGATATATATACGTATATATACATATATAGCAGGGGGGCGCCGTACATGTGATGCTCGCGCAGCTGGACGGGAATCATGTGAGCTGCGCGCGCTCCTCAATTGATGCCGCTTGCCCCTGCCCCAGCCGCAGTCGCAGCCCCAGCTCAAATCGTTGCCTATCTGCATAACTATATATGCATGTTCATATATATAAAATGTATATATATATAAGATATAATAGTGTATATATGTATATGTATTTATATCGATCATGCGAGTACTTGTTCGTACTGCCGTTCATATTCAGACTCGTTCTGTTTATCGTCGTTTATTTAGTCGACACCGGGACGATCCGATGCGATCCGATTGCGGTTGCGATTCCGATTCCGATTCCCATTCGGATTCGGATTCCCTAATAGACACCGTTTACGGTTCGTAGCGCCTTGAACTTCATTTGTCGTCCAGCATCGCGGCCATTAAGATTGTTTTTCCATAACGTCGCGTTACTTTCGTATTTGTTTGTTATTTCAATTTATACGTTTGTGCAACTGTAAATGCAATTACGCTCGCTAGTTGGTGGCATCTGATCAGCAGCATATCGATTAATATCGATTCGATGCGTATGCATACGGCGCCGTTTCACTATGGGTACGTTTCCGACTAGATTCCAGCTGGATTCAGGTTGGATTTCAGTTAGGTGACCACTAAGTCTTTGAGTACAAACGGGCCGACCAAAAAGCGGGCACACAAGCACACGCCAGCACACACACACGCACACACACACACACGGACACACGCCAATGTTCGCTCGCTCGCTTATAGACTTAGATAGAAAGACGGGGGCACACTCGTGATCCAGTCGGGCCCACTAACTAATCTATGAATGTATGTGTACACAAAAATTTCCCCCGTCTTATCGCGGTGGCATAAAACAAAATGAAGCAATAAAACAGGTGGCCCCGCCCTCGCCGTCGCCCCCAACGGCAACTTTACCACAGGCAGTCATAGAGCAAACAGAAAAAATTCGTTAATTATAGCGCTAATTTAGGCAGTTGGCGCAGTTTCAATTTAACGCTACTTATTGTTAGACGAGCCATTTATAAACCCCACTAAAAATAATTTAGCTCAAATCTGCGATGCCTCAAATTTGAGTGGATGTGACGAAATGCCTAATGGAAGAGTCACAAGCCCACGGAATGTCAAGCATAATTTAGATTTCCCTTAATACCCATTGCAGATAGTTCCAATGTGCAATCCAATAATCGGTCATACTGCCTAGATCTTATCGCGTTGCCATTCAGTAGCATCGTAAAAACTTTTGCCCCCAATCAGCAAAGTCAAATTGAAAGAACAAAAAAGAAACAAACGAACATAAAAAGCGAAAAGTCTTCGTAGCAATCGAAGCCAATTCGGGCAGATTTTCATTTTATCGTGACGAATCGTCACGTGCTGAGCGATTCTATTTATAGAGCGGACAACATTTACCCAAATGACCCGCTCGACAATAAAATAGCGCTAAGATGTGCGCATTATATGAAAGTCGTCAGCAATTCGCATAGCCAGAGACAAAGACAGAGACAGAGATAGAGATAGATCGAGAGATAGAACAGAAATGGAGAATAAGAGACAGAGCGAGACATTGGCAGTCGGAGAGAATTTGTAATTGAGTGCTTTGTCCCTGTGTCTCGCTGCGTTGGAGATGAGCAATTGCTGCCTGTCCAGAAGGTATCTGAGTCACGGATCACATTTCGATCGTCAGATATTAAATCACATGAGCACTTGAGCACTTGAGCTCATCGCAAGATCAACAGAAATGTTCAAGTTATTAGTACTTTGGGTAAACTTGGAGATTGAGCTGTTCAATTGGAAATGCTGATATGATTGCTAAATTTAGCAGCGAGTTCAAAGGAAATATCAGTTCACTGTTAAATGATCAATAACTTGTATTTACTTACATATGTTTATATATCAATTATTTACAAGACTGAGGGAAACTTGAACTTGACGCGTAGCTAAGCTGGTTACAGGGTATTTTACGGTATCAAGATCTAGTCATGAGTGATCTTCATAAACAAGTACTGGGTATCTGCTGGTAGTGATCGCACACTCTAGTCTGGCAATGGCTAGGTACAGGGTATATTTGGCAGTGATCTTTTACTTATCTGGCACT